CATTTATTATGAGATATCAGGCTTCTGAAAAGTATTTTTATTCCTATGCACCCAGATGCTGATTTAGCGTATTTTTGCATTAATTACGGCAAAATAATAGTTGCATGGAGGTGATCAGCCTGTGGCTTTGCTGAGGCTTAGGTGGCTTTGACAGCCACCTGCACTGCTGCGTCTCATCTCTCATCTTCCTTTTGATCATAGATGGGGTTAAGGTCAGGTAAGTTTGCCTTCCAATCAAGAAAGGTGACACCATCTCATTGATCCAGCTTTTCTTTGTCTGGGAGTCTGGGCAAGCAATAAGTTCTGCTGGAAAAGGACATCATACAGCTTGTCAGGAATGAAGCATGAAGCGGTGTAATATTTCTAGGTAAATAACTGTGTTGACAGTGGACTTAAAAGAAAATAGTGGACATGCTCCAGCAGAGGAAACGGCACCCCAGGTCATCACTGACCTCACTCTGGACATTAAGCAACAAGGATTCTCTGCTTATCCACTCTACCTTTAGACATCTGAAGGACCTCACAGGCTCACTGTGGTTTGTTGGCTGTGCAAACAGGACAGCAGAGGAGGCAAGAACCAGAAAGAGACGTACAAAAGGAACCTGTTCAGCTCATCATCCCTCAAAACTAAACAGGTAAAATATTTTAAGGCAAAATATGATGGAAACTATGGTTAAAGAAACCAAAACAGCCACAACAAAGACTGTAGTGGTTTATGACCTGCTGAGGCCAGTGAAAGGGGATTCTCAGATAACTTTTTTTGAAGTTTGCTGAAATTGTTTCCAAATATGATATGAGGCGATCAGGATATAAAATCACAAAAGACAGACAGTTGAAAGAGCTGCGCCTGTCCTACACTGTCCCTCATGAGCTTCCTGGTTATCCCACATTTATTAGATCTGGTTACCCTCCTTCCTGCAGCAATTTAAGAAGCCACCTTCCACAGGAGCTGCTGCTCATTTTTAACATGACCTTTAATCAATCACTCTTACAATGATCATCATGTCGTTTGGTTCATCACTTACAGGAGAGCTACAAACTGCAGCAATTAGATCTTGAGAGGATATTCAGGGCTTTCCAATCAACCCAGGACTTGTAGAGGTTTAGGGTCAGAATAAGGTCAGCTAATATATCTGCAGATACCACATATCCTGTGTACAAACTGTTTAGACTGTTCTATTTAGGTCAGCACCACAGAGCGCCCTTTATAAAAACCAGCTGCCACAGAGTGTTTCTTCCCCAGGCTGTCAATTTGATGAATACTTAACAGTCAGGATGCTAGATTGTTAGCATGCATATTTACATCAATCCATCAATGTCTTTGCATTTTGTAAAAATATGTGCATATGAATAATTAACAAAAATATATGATTTACCAGGTTATTTATGTTTTTTTTTTTTTCAGCTTTACACTGTAATGAGTACAGAGCAACGAAATGAACTCTGCATTTAACCCATCCCCTTTGTGAGCAGTGGGCTGCCATTGTGCGGCGTCAGAGGAGCAGTCTGGGTTTAAGGGTCTGGCTCAGGGACCCTGAGTGGTAGTCTGTGGGAGTAAAACTCAGAACCTCAGGGTTCCGAGTGCAATGCTCTAACCACTAGACCACCACCTTTATATTTGTGAATATAAACATTTAATGAAACGTGTGAGAAAAGAGGAACTGAAGACAAATCTGTTGTTTGTTTGCAGATAATTGTCAGCTAAACCCTTATAACAGAAACATTTCTATTGAAATAAAAAAAACATCTAACACTTTTACTGTAGTTTCATAAAATATCTAATTCAAAGATGGGTAATTTAGAAAGTAGATACTGTATGGAATATTTGAACAAGCAAATCTCAAAGATGGGGTTAGTGAATTTAGGTTGGTTCTGCACAGCCTCTTTGTTAAATTAACTGTATGTTTTGGTAGTATAGATATATTGCATAGAAACTGACCTTGTTACATGATGTTGGTGAGTGAAACTTTCTTTCATCCCAGCGTCAGACACACAATGCTTGTGCTGCTGCAGCCTTGAAGGCGTGCTGCCTGCTGGGTAAGTGCTGTTGTCGGGGCAGCTTCATCTCAGTGTTGGACGCCTCCCCACAGCCAGCAGCAAAACCAGACTTCTGCTGCATGGTTTCATTCGGTGATGTGAGCGAGCTCAGGCTGCAAAAACACTCAGCTGTGAACACTCCTACATCCACATGGTTTATTTGGTCCCTCCTGTATGTAGTGACCATTCAGAAATTATTCTCCTACAAACAATGGGGTGGGATTCAGACTCATTTTGCCTGTTCAAGTGGTGGCAATTTCACAACAAATTTGATCTCAATGCATTTGCAATTACATATCCATGACAAGACCTTTATAAGATTACTCCTGCCATGCATTTGAAGATTTAATTTACAAGGCAATCCGTTAGAATATTTAGAAAATATTGGGATATTTTTTAAAAAGATATTCCAAAAAAGTTTTTTACAAATCCATTGAACTTTCTTTTCAAGTTTGAAGACATTTGCTTCCGATCCAGGAAGCTTTTTCAATTCAAAGTGTAATATAGTGTGATATAGCATTGAGTTCGAGGCTATTTCTAACATTTTGAATTGAAAAGCTTGCTAGATGGGAAGCAAAGCCTCTTCAAACTTGGAAACAAAGTCCAGTGGATTGTTTTTTAACTTTTTTGGAATGACTTTGACCTGGATCACTTCACTATTCATCCTGGTGAATCCTCACCAGTTTAAAACCACATATTTATCAGTTTGGTCAAAAATAGACCTGATTTTTTCAATCCATTGTTTCCTTTTAAAAATAGGTTTTCTTAGCAGAAAGCAGGACTCCAAATGCCTTATAATGCTTCATTTAAAAATATGCAAAGTTCTTCAGAGCAAAGGCAACGTGCTCAGCAGCACAGCTTTAGGTGCAGATTTTACTTAGTATTATCTTTGAGGATTAAACACATGTTAACAAGTTATATTTATTTCTAAAAAAAAAAGGTGCAGTCTATGTTATACTATTTACTAAAAAAACAAGCCATAAAATAACCAGTCACCAAATGAGAGTTTATTTAATTGCTGGTCTTTAAATTAACTATTTTCTTATTCTTTGCTAATCCTGGTATTTCTAGGTGTTACTGAGTCTTTCTGAACTAATGGACTTCATCTCTAAAATATCTGACTGTTTCCCATGTTCATTGTCAGTCTGGTTTTAGTTTCCTTTTTTTATATACTTTCCCTTTTGGTTTCTTTCCAATTAAATTTTGTGAGTGAATTCACCTTTGGCTCTCTCCTTTAGTCCCTCTGCCCTGCTGGGGTTGCTTTTTATTAAGTGTTCTCACTCAAGCTAATCAGAGGCAGAACTGGGCAGGTCTGTAGTTTTCTAACATGCCAGGCTATTCAGAGAAGTTAAGGGTAGACTGCTCAAGCTTAAAAAATATATTGTTAAATTACCTTTTTAATAAAAACAGCATGATCTCTTGAATAAAAAACGACAATGAAAGCATACAAATATCTTTATTCTGCTGATGCTGATGAAGATTCTCAGTCATCCAGGTCATAGTCATTTTGTAAAAGTTAAAAAAAAAACTATCCACTGGACTTGGACTTGAAACCAAGTCCTGTGAATTGTTTTTTAAACTTTTACGGAACTTTATCCTGCATCTTTCACAGTTGAATTAGGCTTTGATTTTCCTACCAGGTGTCTGTGTGCTGAGTTTTATTTTTGATAGTATCTGATCTTTATTGTCTTTGCCTGATTGTTACTTCTATCTTCCTTTCCTTCTTTTAAAACTCTGTTTCTTGTTGGTGTCCGAGCTGCTGCTACTTCACAGCAAAAGGATCAGTGGTTTATATCTTATCAGGAAACCTCTTTTTGGAGGCTTTGGTTGCGTATCATCAAGGACACACTGAGAGTGACCAAAAATTCTCTAGAATAGAGATCTAATATAATGGATGTACACAATCGATAACAAAATATTGAAAAAAAGAGGATCTTCAAACTTAAGCCATTGGTTATTTTGAATGTATTTATGAATTCAATTCAATTCAGTTTATTTATATAGCGCCAAATTCACAACACATGTCATCTCAAGGCACTTTACAGTTCAACCAGATCATACAGTCAAATTGATACAAAGTTTCCTATCTAAGGAAAACCAGTTGATTGCATCGACTCATTGACTCAAATACAATCCCTCACACTAAGCATGCTTGTAGCGACAGTGGAGAGGAAAAACTCCCTTTGAATGAGCTTACATTTGGTTATTGCTTCTTTTCTATTAGTTAGCAGCTGCACCAGTTTATTTTATCTATAAAAGGCACTTTAAAGAGACAGTTCAATCAGATCATACTGTCAGATTGATTCAAAATTTTCAGTCAAAGGAAAACCATTTTTTTTTTTTGCATTGACATATTGACTTGAAGCAAATCCCTCACACCAACCATGCTTGTAGCCCCAGTGGAGAGGAAAACTCTCTTTTAACAGGAAAAAACCTCAAGCAGAACCAGGCTCAGTGTGAGCTGACATTTGCCCAGGCCGTCTGGGGCTCAAAGAGATAGAAAAAGAAGCAGAAATAGAAAAGGCAACTGTCAACCAGCTCCACAGGCAGAGCTCCCAGGAGGAAGAGAGCAAATCCAGTTGTTAATGATTTAATCAAAGAAATGTGAATTAACATTAACCTACAAATAAACTTATACATTAACTTTCGTTAAAACAGCTTGTAGGGTTTTGACTGATGCTGTGACAAACATCTCACTTGTACTAGACCATCTTGGCCGTTTCAAAAGCCTAAGAATTAATTATAAAAAATAATAAAAATAACATTTTGATAAGTTAAAGCAAGGAAAAAATTAGGAAATATAAACTTGTAGAAAAGGGATCCACCGGTTACACGCCATCTGACCCAGACTGAAAGATGATCACTTCAATCTGCATCTTTGGTGTATCCCGTCATGTCGCACGTGTTCTCGTTGCGCCTCGCCCCCTCCTCTCTCTCCTCCCTCCCTCCCTCCCTCCAAAGGTGACCGGGGAGTCGGTGCCAGTTATTTACCGTCCTGAAGTTGAATCGCATCCTGACGCAGATCAGCTGATGGAGGCTCTCTGCTCGGCGTGCATCTGCATCCTTCATCCCCCTCTCCGCAGCTGAGTACTCCTCACATGTCAGTCTGCTGCGCTCTTCTTCCCCGGGGGCTTCGTCTTCATCCAAAGTCATGTCCCCCCCGACGCTCAAATGTTAGTAAAAAGGACACGCACGCGTTGACTTATTTTTGGAATATTCATTTTGCATCCTAAACTGCGTTCCCGAGGGCATCCTGCCGCTGGCAGGATCAGAGTTCCCAGCGATGTGGATTACAGTCTGCAGCGTGTCTCTGCTCATCACTGTGGTCTGCGGTGCGCAAAGGTGAGATCCGACACTTCGATTCTACACAGGCCTGAGTTTATTGTAAATAGGCTACACCTCATGTGCCCCCCTCCCTCCTAATATTTTAGCGCAAACGAACCCAGCAACATGTCCTACGTGAAAGCCACCGTTGACAAGTTGCTGAAGGGCTATGACATCCGTCTGCGGCCTGACTTTGGAGGTAAATTACAGCCGGTTGGCATGCGGGGCTCTGCGGGGCTGCTGCGTTCTAACGCTCTGCTGTCTCCACAGGAGCTCCGGTGGATGTGGGAATGAGAATAGACATCTCCAGCATTGACATGGTGTCTGAAGTTAACATGGTAAGTTAATGTGGGTTTTGCGTTGCTTAATTCCTCCCCAGAAAAAAAAAAAAAAAAAAACTGCTCCTCTCTTTTTTCCCCTCTTTATCATCATCCTTATCTTTTTTCCTTAACAAGTGATGAGATACGCAATGTGTCAACCCCAATCCGCATGCATCAAGTCCTTCCCTGGGGTGTCACAGCCAGCGGTGGCTGAGAATTAACAAGGCAGGCAGCTGAGAGGCTGTTTAGTGATTCCACGCACGATCTATGGCCTCAGAGCGGCATGCGGGACACAGGAGGTGATCAGAAACAGAGAGGGGGTGAAATGTGAAAGCTCTTCTTCTGTGCGTGTTCTGGTCTTCTTCTTTTTTTTTTTGGCCCCAGTGCAGTAATTGCATAACAGCTGTCAGACAGAAGGCACCCGGCTGCGAGTCTGTTTGCAGAATGTGATGTGACCACTTCATATAGAGCGTGAGTGCAGCGCTGCCAAGGTGCACTAGGCAGAGGGAGTCTGACAAATTCACACGTCTACCCTCCCCACGCATCGTGGCATGAACACACTCTGAATGTTCCCCGTGTGACTGAATGAAGATGTAACTTTTGCACGGGTTTGAAAGAGTTAAAGTCAAGGCAAATTGATGGATAGAAACTTTGACCTATATGGTTTTATAATTAGTGATGTAGACAAATGACTCTTTGAAAATTAAACGCCTTATAGTTTGTACCAGTGCCATATGTGCAGATGTGCAAAAATGTGCAAATTCTTATGTTGTAGACGAGGGGTCTTCAACGTTTTCCAGGCTAAGGAACCCCAAATTGATGGCGAGATGGAGCGGAGACCCCTGTTTATATATATTGTATGAAATTGTGGTACATCAACTTGGTCCTATAGTCACTCTATTACATATGGAATATTGTAACTAAAGTAATTTCATCCTAGGATTATTAAAGTTCTGATTCGGATTCCTGGTTGATGGGACAGGTGTTGTGAATGAAACGGTGCCCAGCTTAAAAGAGCTCCTGTGTGTCACTGAATTTGTGCATTGATGACTGAAAGACATCTTCTGCCTCCATTTATATGTTTACTACTGTGTTGAATTCATCTTAATGTGGATTTAAAGGCATTTCAATTAGTAGAAAAAATTGCAGGGGGAATAAAAATAAAATCTAATCAGCCAAATCTTTTGCGACCCCCATGCAGCACCTCCGTGGACCCCCTAGGTGTCGCGGACCCCCTTCTGAAGACCTCCGTTGTAGACCTTTAAACTTAATTATATTTAGAGTTATCCTCCCCTTATATAGCTACATGTCCTTAAGGCATCTAGACATAATCAAGACTGGCTTAAGTTAAAAGCCAGTATCTAAACATGGAAGACATTTGAGTTAGTATACATATGATATGCTTTTGAAGGTTTCATTCAGGTTTCAGGTGGACTGCTGTGAGAATTGCTTGCAATCTTCGGAAATTTTTGTGCATGTGAACCATTTGGATTTCAAAGAAAGGTCCAAAGAATGGAAAAAAAATCAACAGAGTTGGAAATTTGTTGTTGTTGTCATACGAGAATAGGCAGATTGGTTTTAGCTGATCTGGAAAGGCAACAGTTGCTCAAATAGCCATCCAGCAACACCAGGGTGCAGAATGCTCTCTCTGAAAACAAACTATGTCAAACCTTAAGGCAGATGCTCTTAAGTAGAAGGAGGCTGTTCCTGTCTGCCAAAAAAAGCAAACGAGCTGACCAGAGAAACTTAAGCTCCAATATTAGGATAATTATGTTGAGAATTTAGTATAAAACATAAAAACAGCATGGTGTCATTATTCTTTAAGCATCCAAATCAGATGCATTTTATGGCATTTTTCTTTCCAAGGTATTTTCTTTGGTTAAAATATATCCTGTAAGTATGTCCTCAGTTTACTTTCTGCACTCAACCTTAAACATAGCTTTAAGCACAAACAGGACAAACTATAAACAAACTATTATTTTTCACAAGCCAAAAAGGGTATAATTAAAATCTTATAAAAATCAATTTCACGGCAAATAAACCCAATAGTTTCCAATCCAATCCAGCCGTTAGATTGTTAGATTCACTACATATCATTAGGTAGATTGGTCATTTAAAAATACAGAATTAAGTTGGTTGTTAAAAAAATGCCAATTGGTAAAAAGCTATTAAAGACAGTCCAGTGGATTACATCAGGTTAATGATGTAATCCAGCAACCAAGCAAGTGACAAAACGGTTTAGCCTGAACAAACCTTAAGCAAAACGATTGTCAGTAGGGGTGTCCGTTTTCTACAGCCATCTTCGAGTTCAGGAGACAAGAATGGGGGGCGTTCCATGTCACCGTCACCATCAACAAAAATGTCAGAAGAGTATTAGATGTTTCAGAACCTATTTCGTTTTTTTCAGATTTCAAACCAACATGTTTCACTGCTCTACAGCAACAAGCTGTACTTGCTACAGATGCTTAGTTTATTGTTGCGGAAAACACAAGATCCACCTAGATGAGGTACTTGGTAATGCCCGTGTTCCTACAACACTTTACATAATGTGAAATGTTATTCTTTTATAACATTGACTATGCAACTCATAAATATTACAATGCCTATTACATCTTCTCTTGCTTTTTGTGATTTTTGTCTTTAACATCTGACCTCTCTGTGAGGATACCATCTGTTGCTCCATATGGATGTGGCCTAAAACTACTGGCTCAGGTGCACTTTCTAAATCCTGTGTACACAGAATCTAGGGGTTTAGAAGCTCCAAAAATAACTTTATCTAAAAGGAAAACAGTTAAACTAAAAACAACTTAGACATTGGCACCATCTGTCAAATGGAAAAACAAAGAGGGTTGGGATAATTGATGCAAGGAACAGGATTGTTGATGGCTTTGTTTTGGAAGGATACGGTACAATAAAAAAAAGTATCACAGAGCCGGGAATGCTGTCTGTTGAAAGGGAAAAAAAGGCAATAAAGTTACTGGCAGCAATTATTGCAACAGAACAAATTGAAGGAAGTAGAAGAACACCGGATACTGAGATAACGTAGTTGATATGTTTTTCAGCTGTCTCAGTCTATGGCCACATTACAAAGATATCGCTCAGGAAGGCCTTAATCAATTAAAAACTTTATTGTGAAGGTAGATTTTGAGGCTAGCTATACACTTAAACAAAACTTTTTTCTCACATGACAAAACTATCAAATGATTGATAACCAAGAAGATGCAATAGAGTTTAACAATTTTTCTGCTGCTTTTGTACATATTCACTTGAGTTAGGGGACACCATTTCTGGTAGTATTCCAAATATGAACAGATCTGAATAAGAGGAAAACTGTTAGCGGTTTGAAATCCTGCACTGAGTATTTTAAGCAGCTGATACCTGAGTGGTTTGGATAGATTTTTGTCATCAGTGGTTGTGTGGGCTCTGCCAAACGCTCCTGAAAGGCTTCATTGGAGCGTTGAATTCTGAATCAACTGGATTTCTCTCCAGCATTTGTGTTGACTTACAGCAGAAGGTAGGGTTTTAACACCTCAAATGGCAGCTTCACGGTTTAAATGTATTGAGGGTTGCTGTTCATGTGCTCCTCTACTAGTTTATGTTTCCTGAAATCACATTGCTGAATTGCTCACATTGCTGCCAAGTCTTTGTTATTGAACATTTTTCTTAAATCAGTAAAGCAGAATAATATTCCAATGTATCCTTATAGAAGCCAACCTTATGATACCGACAGTTACAGAGGTCCGAGGGTGGTCTGAGGGCGCCATGGAGAAACTCCAAGACAGTTTTGAATGCTCTTACTGGAACATCTTCAAGGCTCCAGCAATATACGACAATGTATTAAATATTGCTGAGAATGCTATGACTGTGTCAGCCTACATCACCGGTGGGCAATTCCAGTTCCTGAGGGCCGCTATCCTGCAAGTTTTAGATGTGTCTTTGGTTCAGCACACCTGAATCAAATAATTAGATGATTGAGAGGACTCTGGAGGAAGTGACTGCATACTAAGGAGGTAACCAAGACATTTAATTCAGGTGTGTTGGAGCAAGGATGGATCTAAAAGTTGCAGGAAACCGGCCCCCTGGAACTGGAATTGCCCACCTCTGGCCTACATCAACAAATGTATTGAGGAAGTCAGCATCAAAAAGAACATCACCACCTGGGCTAATCAGTGACCCTGGATAAATGGAGAGGTTCGGAAAAAACTAAAACCACGGAACTCAGCTTCCAAGTCTGGTGACAAAGGCACTAAGAACATTGCATGCCAACTTAAACCGTGCCATCAGATCAGCGAAGCAGAACCACAGCCAAAAAATCCAGGATCTTTTCCACGACACCAGCAAAACCAGGAGGATGTGACAAGGCATATGGGTGATCACAGACTACAACACACCCACCCCCCGGTAGATCCAGCAAACTTTGACTTCCTAAATCAACTTAACAACTTTTTGGAAGGTTTAAGGCACTAAACAGCACTCCAGCAGGGAAAGCTGTTCCACACCAGGGGAAGGAGGCACTCAACCTTGCTATAGCTGAAGAGTCAACCCAAGAAAGGCCCCAGGCCCCAATAACATACCAGGTTGGGTGTACAAGGAGTGTGCAGATCAGCTGGCTGGTGTCCTCACAGACATTTTTAACACCTCGCTGGACCGATCCATAGTGCCAGCATGCTTCAAGTCTGCCACTATCATCTCGTGTCCAAAAAAGCCTCAGGTCACCTCACCCAATGACTACCGGCTGTTTTCCGCCAACATTGTACCCGTTTCAATTCGCCTACTGATGGAACCGCTCCACTGAGGACGTCATCTCCTCCACTCTTCACCTGAGCCTGGCACACCTGGAAGGGAAGAACACCCATGTGCGGATGCTGTTCCTGGACATCAGTTCAGCTTTAAACATCATCATCTCACAGCATCTGGTAGGCAAACTGGAACAGCTAGGATTCAATACCCCCCTCTGCAATTGGCTGCTAAACTTCCTCACAAACAGACTTCAGTCAGTCCGGGTTGGACAGAACACC